TTTATGTGCAGCTACTAGTGTCCCCAAAATATTTGTTACATTTTCTTGCACATCTTATATACAAAATATAACAACTATTATAGGAGAGAGGTAATTATTTGTGGATTGATTCACTTATGTAGCAATGTTCAAATTAAAACTTTTAAAATAAGTTATGCTTGAATCATTTATTGTAGGTGATAAAGCCAAAAACAAAAAGGGTTGATTTCTTAAATTAAATATATGCAATTCCTGGTGAGGGAGTGTGTGTGTGTGTACATATATATATATATATATACAGGAATCAACACTGCATGGTAACTGTCAGTTTTGTACCTCAGACCAAGAATTTCTGAAGATCATATTACTAGCTCTAAACCACAAAACAATTGAAAGAAGGGCTGAAATTGCATGGAGACAAAACTGACAGTCACCATTCAGTGTAGATTCCTATGTCTATACTAACTCACTTTTTCTCTCTCTCTTTATATATATATATATATATATATATATATATATATATATATATATACACACACACAATCTCTGATATTGATTATAAACATGACATTTTAAAACTAAACAATTATCAAATTAGGATATTCTAAAAAATTAAAGTAAAATTCTGTGAAAAAATTACATAAGAACCAAATTAATATCTAATATTAAGAAGAAATTACAAGTAAAATGATAATGAGAGAGAGTATAGTAGTCATTGTCCCTCTTAACATTTGTTTAGTCATGTAAATCTCTACATTCATAATTTAGTGCAAAATTATGATCTTAGTATTTTTCCTAATAATATCCCTATAAGTTTTAATAATAAATGAACAGGAAATGAATACCATTATTATCTTATGTTTTAACTGAAGATCCCAAAAGATTAGAGATACTAATACACTGGATAGATTTGCATTACTCCACTTGTAAAAATTAACTCATCAAGATATTGTACATATGATGTAATAAGTAAAAGGTTAGTGTAGCTGTGACAACTATAGAATGCATACATTTCCTTTAACACTGTTGGAATGAATATTAGGGTCAGAAAGATAAACACTATCCTTTTAGGTGGCAAGTGCTCTATTTTTGGTAAAAAAAAAAAAAAATAGCAAGAGTATCCCAGGAATATGTGAAAACCGGAGGGGCATCAGAGGAATATGTGAAAACCGGAGGGGCATCAGAGGAATATGTGAAAACCGGAGGGGCATCAGAGGAATATGTGAAAACCGGAGGGGCATCAGAGGAATATGTGAAAACCGGAGGGGCATCAGAGGAATATGTGAAAACCGGAGGGGCATCAGAGGAATATGTGAAAACCGGAGGGGCATCAGAGGAATATGTGAAAACCGGAGGGGCATCAGAGGAATATGTGAAAACTGTGGTTACTAACAGATGTTACAAGAAAGGCAAATGACAAAGATGGTAACCACCCAATGAAATACAACATTACATCAAATTATGTCAAAATTTAATGCTGGAGCTACTCAAACCATCAGTCAACACACTATACAGTATACACTGCATTTTATAGGGTTTCATTAGAAGAGTATTATTATTGACACCATAGCATTGGTTACTGCACTAATCAGAGTCAGAGAATGTTAAACATTGGATCCAACTTAAACAGACTGGCTCACTTGTAAAAAGGTAAATTTTTTTTCAAAGAATAATTATTAAGGATTAGCATTCATTAGACTTTTCTAAAATAAAAAGATTTAGAAGTGGAGTTCCTGTTCATAATACTGATACAGTACAAAATCCATTCCTGAATTTTTACAGAGTTATTAGATTTAATTGTTATTTACAAATGTCAAGTTTGAAACTGCATTTACAACATTAATATCAGCATATTTTTACATCTTTTAATTTCATGAATTTTTAAAAACTTTCTTAGAAACTTTTTTATGGGGGAAAGGAATTTATCAGAAACACATGCACAAACATTGAAGGATAATAAATCATATATATTCTTTTATTAATTTATGTAAATTTTTTTTAATTAAAGAGGTATATATCTGCTTGTTCTTTATTTAAAATAAATCTTTTTTGTAAAAAAAAAAAAAAAAAAAAACAACTGTTTTTGTATGGTCAATAACTCTGTAATAAGCCAGTCGATTGATTTTATACTGTATCAATATTATGAATAGCCCACACCTTCTAAAATTATTTTTTAAAATTTTTTTTGTTTTTGATAAATGTCAAGCCATGAGGAAAGTCTAATAAAGGCTAAGCTACAAAAATTAATTCCTATTTTTCATGAGTAAACCAGTCTACATAAAAAATGCCAAACATTGAACCATGGACATGGTGCTGTGTCAGCTGATCAGATGAGTCACGTTTATTCCTCACCCTCACCCTGTCTTACAGTTTGTGTGTGGATGAAACCACATAAGGCTATGTATGGATCCAGCCTGTCAACAAAACATTGTGCAAACTGGTAGTGGCTCTATGTTATAAGGTGTGTCCTGTTAGAGTTTAAGACCACTAGTGAAACTGGAGTGTCTTGACAGGTGGAATATACAGAAATCCTGTGGCATATTTTCCATCATTGATGCTTTTTTTTTTCTCAGAAAAATAACCTCCACCCACACTATGTGCAGGTAACATGAAACTGTATTCAAGAGCTAGATTATAGATACTCTTTTGGTCTCCATACATATTGAGTATGTATAGGACATATTGTAGACCTCACTAAATTTTTTGCAGCCACACCTAACAAACACAATTCAAGTATGAACAGTCCTGGAACATGCCTGGATAGATATATCCCTGCAACGATTCCAGAAGATCTTACATAGCATTACAGAAAACAATTATAATACAAATTCAAGAAATTCATCGTTTATATAAAATTCTTAAACATCCCCATTTTAAAGCAAAGCTACAAGATTATGTTCATTTTTAAAAATTGTGACAAAATTTTTTTTTGTAATATTAGAATTAAAAACCTCTCTAGTACAAATTAAATTACAAAAAGAATGTCAGAATATAAGTCTAAATATTTATATGTGGAAAAAATTGTTCAAATATTTTGTAAGAGCAAATATGTTTGTACAAAAAAGCATATATAGTAACCATCAAAAACACACACACTGATCTGCTGAGTATCTGTGCCCTGTGCTGAGGATCCAATCTGCACAGCTTTTGAGCTGTCATTAATGTCGTATCTGCTCCTCTAAAACTATTTTCATACTTTAGATGAGATGTGGTACCATGTTCTCATCTTTGGCTTTGAACATGATTTAAAAAAAAAAAAAAAAAAAAAAAAAAAAGAAATTTGTACTGGGTACCTGTTCCTGTGACAGCATCACCCTACACCAAACAAGAGGGTTAGCATCACCCTACACCAAACAAGAGGGTTGGAATATTTTAAAGCCTTCTTGACACTGGCTGCTCGTGAATACCTCACATGAAACTTGCCATGTTTTCTACTACTATGAAGGTGTAGGGTTAAGTAAATAAAAAAAACCCATAGCATAGCTGTCAAGGGTGGGATGCGGTAAAAATAATAATAAAAAAAAATAGAGGCAAGCCTAGTACCAGGTGCACTGTGGAGGCCAGAACAAAAATGTGTGGGCTCCCACCTTAAACTGATTATGTCTCACATTCTACTACTGTGGGGAACTAGTTAATAATTATCATAGTGTAGTATCTGTACTCTTTGTGAAAAGCCTTACATGCACACTACGTATATAATGCAATCAACTAACCTAAGTCCATATTTGCATCATTATTCATTTACACATTTCATTTAAGCAATATCCATTTTTAATAATAAACAAAAGAAAAGCTTCTTTTTTTTAGCTTTACTGCTTGACAAATATGCTAAGGAACACACATACTTGGTTTGCGTTTTTTTTTTTAATAGAGAAAAAATAAAAGTAAAACTAGTTTGAAAAACTTTCAATAAGTTTCGTTTTCTGATTCAATAAGTCAAGAAAAGCCTACATGTAAAATTTACTGCAAATTACGGTACACAAACGTGTTCTTTTTTAATTATTATTTGTAAAAACAGAGTGGCGTTTTCATGACCCTTCCACCCAAAAATTATTATCATGTTTCTCTTATTTTTCTCATAAAAAGCATATTGTGTTTATGTCAATTTTTAAACCACTTAAAAATCCCTGTAGGCCGTTATTGTGAATAAAAGAAGACTGAATGAATGAATAATGAGGAGTTTGTGAATATCAACACTACAGCATCCCGTGAATAGAAGAAAATAAAGCTGATTCATATCAGATTATGTAAGTTCTTAACACATAGAAAAAAAATACTAAATATTATAATTAAACTTACCCACCAAAACAAGAAAAAATATTGGGTGGAGGAGGGGGCGAGAGATTTTAAATTTTATGTTTTTTGTTCGATCTTTGCGACGATGTTGAGATAGGGACAACTTTTTTTTTTTTTAATTAGAAAAAAATACTTTGTTTTCGTGAAGACAAAATAACTATTTTCTTTTTTTTTAAAATTCATAAGTGTTAAAAATATTTTTGAAAAATGAAAATCATTTAACTGATTAGTAGTTTATTTTTAACTTATTTGGTTTCATAAACTGTTGAAATATTTCTACTTAAACTTTAAAAAAAAAAAAAAAAAAAAATGCTTAGCTGGAAAAATAAAAACATTTTTTTTTTTTTTTTAAAGCAAATACTTTTATTTATCGTTCGGTTAATGAATCTTTTTACTCGCGTAGGACCTCCACGACACCTAAATTTAAAAGTGGTTCGAAACGAAAAACAACTGAAATTAAAAAAATATCGTTTACATTTAAATTTTAAATTAACAGAAAAAGGAGGGAAATAAAAAAGCATTTTTAAAACTGAACAAGTTTTGACACTTCAACTTAATTTGAAAAAAAATTTTAGTTTTTCTTTAATGTTTTGTTTCTGTTAAAAAAAAAATAACTATAATTTTTGCATGTATATGAAAAATGTGTGTGTGTTTGTGTGTGTATTTCAAACTTTTTAAAGTTATACAAGTTAAATTATTAAATATAAGTTAGAAAATTTACTCACTGGAATTGGTATTTGTAATGTATTTTCATGATGATGAATAATAGTCGAGAGAACACATGGAAGAAGAGTCCGGCCGAAATGACTTGGAAAAAAAAACACAAGTGACCAAACAACAACAACAACAAACGAAAATAGATGAAAATTTAAAGGAAGTAAATAACGGAGAGATATCACATTCAAAAAAAAAAAATAATAGTGTTGGTGGTCAACAAATACAAACAGCAGTCAATGAATGTCTAGCCATGTGTAATCAATTTTTTTTTTTTTTAAAAAAAGTCCTTTTTAAACAAGTGGTGTGAATAAAAGTTATTGATGTGGAACCTACGGATTATGGTTAAAAATTGAAAAAGACTGAGGTTGAAAGACAATAAACCACAAGTGCAAGACTGATGACATAGTGACTTAACAACCAGTAGCCACATACATAGTGAGTGCGAGTGGGGGAAAAAAAAAAGAGGTGGTAATTTGTTCCATAATAGTCCATTTCTACTTGAGGCTTTCTCTTACTTTCCTCTCGCCACTACCAGTTCACATGATATTTTTACTGTAAGAAGCGATATCGTGTCACTTGGCCAACACACACACTGAAACTATTTAATTTTAAATCCATTTCTAGTATGACATGCTATTAGGGTTCACTTCACTGTAAAAAAATTCGTTACTCAGCTATTTATCAGTTATTCCGTTGCATGCAACATGTTAGTTAATGTGTAAAAAAAAAAAAAAACTTTGTCAACTTCAATAAAATACTCAACTCATTATTATGAGTTTCCAAACGAACTTAAGTAGACTGGTCCACTCATAAAAATTAGGGAAATTTATTTTAGGAAATAACTTTTGTAGATTAACATCCTTTAGAACTGTCTTGGGCCGTGACACTTGTCAGAATCGAAAAATATTGATTTGTTATTCATTTAGAAGAGGGATCCTAATTTACAGTGTGAAATCAACCCCTAACTTTTACGCAGTTTTTACTTAGCTATTTATCAGCGTTATTCCGTTTTACAACCTGTTAAATAAAAGTAAAACGTTCTCAACTTCTTCAACAAATGTTACTGACTGATAACGGAGGGAATTTCATAAATTGGTCTACTTATAAAAATTAGGGAAATTTATTTGACGAAATATTTTTTTTTAACATTCCTGATCCATTTCTTGGGAAAATTGAAAAATATTGGTTTATCATGATCATTTCAGAAGAGGAAGGTCCAGTTTTTAATGTTAAATCGATCCCTGACTGAGTTATTGGCCTTAAGTCACTAACTAAAACATCATTGATCTGCATATTTTTAAAAATTTTCTAAATTTTTAAAACATTTTTCTAAAATTTTTTGTATGGGATTTTTCGGAAGCTCATACACAAACCCTGCTATTCAACCCATGGTTAGGGAAGAAGAGGTGGATTTACCTTTCCCAAGGGTATTTGTGCGAAAGTGAATCTAATGAACTCGACTGGAATTCGAACTCGGATCTCATAGTTCTCACTCCGAGCCGATATCCATTTACACCACTAAAATAAAATAATTTTTTTTAATAAAACGGATACATCATTTTATTTTATTTTTTATTAATAAAATTTAAAATTTTTGTTTTTTTACTTAAAAATAAAAAACCACTGTCTGTTAGAGGAATCTTCTAAATCCCACCTAAAAAAAAAAAAAAAAAAACGTTTATTTTCTTAATGCAAAACAGCCTAAGGAATCGATTTGTTTGACACTGTACAGGACCCTCTTCTTATATCGATAAGAAATCAATATTTTTTTTTCTGAAAAGTGACGTGTCATAAAGTAGGTCTAAAAAGAATACTAGAAAGTAAAGAAAGAGAATACTAATCTAAAAAACTTATTTCTTAAAAAAATTTTCCCTAATTTATTTTTTTTTTTTTATGAGTGGACAAGTGGAAGTCTGTTTTTTAGTGTCGAATGGACAATGTCACAATGTGTTTTTATTTTAGAAAACTCAATTTTTCTTTTACTTTTATGTTGCGTTTTAAACTAAACATGTATGGAAAGAAAATTTTGCCATTTTTGATTTTTCCATACTTAAAAAAAAAAGAAAAAACGTAAAAATGTTATCAGTGTAGAAAGTATAATCAGCGATCCAAGTTCAAAATCTGTGAAGAGAATTGGCTACGTATTAATGAGGACATGACATGACATAAAAAAATAATAAATAAAAATGTACAGGGTGACCCGAAAGTCTTGTCACCTCCACATAATTTTCTATTTCAGATGGCTGACACGATTTACTAGAGTTTGGAAGAGAAGTAAGTGGAGGACAAAACTTTCGGACCACCCTGTATATGGCTAAGACAACAAAATTTAAGGTTCTATACTTGTTGGTGATCTATATTGTCAACTCTGATACAACAGCTCAAAAAAGAATTTTAAAATAAATAATTTTTTATTTTTTATTGATCCACCCCTTTCAAGAACAATTTTTGCAAGTTATGAAGAAAAATAAGCCAGCAGTCAGTCTAAAATTCAAATGGTAGTGATTACCTGTGAATGAGGTACTGTGTTACCAAAGCTCACAACCAAATTCAATGGGGACTGGGAATTCAAAAACACTACAGAAAAATTAATAAAATAAAAAAGCATAACCTCTCACTCCTTGGGAAATCTGTTGAAAAATATTACAGTGTGAATTTTCAGTTAACTTTAGGATGATTTTCAAATTTTATTAATGTTATTTTAAATTTAAAAAAAAATAGAAATTAACATGATTGTAGGATAATCTTAACTTTAATCCTATTAAAAAAGTTAAAAGAATGAGCATATCTGTTACCTCTAACCAAAATTGCATAAATTTTCAAATCAAACTGTAAGTACCTTGCCATGATTGGTAATTTCACTGGGTGATGCAAACTTGTAAACTAATGTTAAACTAAGCTGTTTTGAGAATAACCCCAAAGATTTTTAACAACTTAATACTAATTTTTCAACCATGACTTCAAAAGAGAATAAAGTGTAAAATTATTAGTGCTTAGCATAAAATAAAGATAAACACAGTGGGTTGGGATGATAATTTATACTTGGATGATTTTGTTAAGATTTCTAAAAAGTAAAAGAAATGAGACTTTGCACATTACATAAACATTTATAAGAGAAAACAAATGGATGCTCACCTTTAATGAAAAGGTGGGAGAAAAAAAGAAAGAAAGGAGGAAAGAGATAAAGAAAAAAGAGATAAAGAAAGGAAAAGAAGAAGAGAAAGAAAGGAGGAAAGAAGAAACCTCTATGGATTATTTAATGCTGAAGACTAAATATTTTGTACACAAAAATATATATAAAAATCTGACACATTAAATATGAAAAAGAGACTTTGCACATTACATAAACATTTATAAGAGAAAACAAATGGATGCTCACCTTTAATGAAAAGGTGGGAGAAAGAAAGAAAAAAAAAGAAAGAAAAAAAAAAAAAGAAAGAAAAAAAAAGAAAGAAAGAAAAAAAAAGAAAAAAGAAAGAAAGAAAAAAAAAGAAAGAAAGAAAGAAAAAAAAAAAAAGAAAAAAAGAAAGAAAAAAAGAAAGAAAAAAAAAAAAAAAAAAAAAGAAAGAAAAAAAGAAAGAAAGAAAAAAAAAAGAAAAAAAAAAGAAAGAAAGAAAAAAGAAAGAAAGAAAAAAGAAAGAAAGAAAAAAGAAAGAAAGAAAAAAGAAAGAAAGGAAAAGAAAGAGAAAAGAAAAAAAGAGAAAGGAAAAGAAAGAGAAAGGAAAAGAAAGAGAAAGGAAAAGAAGAGAGAGAAAGGAAAAGAAGAGAGAGAAAGGAAAAGAAGAGAGAGAAAGGAAAAGAAGAGAGAGAAAGGAAAAGAAGAGAGAGAAAGGAAAAGAGAGAAAAGGAAAAGAGAGAGAAAGGAAAAGAGAGAGAAAGGAAAAGAGAGAGAAAGGAAAAGAGAGAGAAAGGAAAAGAGAGAAAGGAAAAGAAGAGAAAGGAAAAGAAGAGAAAGGAAAAGAAGAGAAAGGAAAAAAGAAAAGAAAGGAGGAAAGAAAGAAAAGAAAGAAGGAAAGAAGAAAAGAAAGAAGGAAAGAAAGAAAAGAAAGAAGGAAAGAAGAAAAGAAGAAACCTCTATGGATTATTTAATGCTGAAGACTAAATATTTTGTACACAAAAATATATATAAAAATCTGACACATTAAATATGAAAAAGAGACTTTGCACATTACATAAACATTTATAAGAGAAAACAAATGGATGCTCACCTTTAATGAAAAGGTGGGAGAAAGAAAAAAAGAAAGAAAGAAAAAAAAAAAAAAAAAAAAAAAAAGAAAGAAAAAAAAAAAAAAAAAAGAAAAAAAAAAAAAAGAAAAAAAAAAAAGAAAGAAAGAAAAAAGAAAAAAAAAAAAAAAGAAAGAAAAAAAGAAAAAAAAAAAGAAAAAGAAAAAAAGAAAAAAGGAAAGAAAGAGAAAAAAAGAAAGAAAGAGAAAAGAGAAAGAAAGAGAAAGGAAAAGAAGAGAGAAAAAGAAAAGAAGAGAGAGAAAGGAAAAGAAGAGAAAGGAAAAAGAGAAAAAAAAAAGAGAAAAAAAAAAAGAGAGAAAGGAAAAGAGAGAAAGAAATTTTAAAGAGAAAGGAAAGAGAGAGAAAAGGAAAAGAGAGAGAAAGGAAAGAAGAGAAAGAAAGAAAAAGAAGAGAAAAAAAAAAAAAAGAAAGGAAGAAAGAAAAGAAAAGAAAGAAGGAAAGAAGAAAAGAAAGAAGGAAAAAGAAAAAAGAAAGAAGGAAAGAAAGAAAAGAAAGAAGGAAAGAAAAAAGAAGAAAAAGAAAGTTGGATTATTTAATGCTGAAGACTAAATATTTTGTACACAAAAATATATATAAAAATCTGACACATTAAATATGAAAAAATGGTCAAAGTTAAAAATAGAAAGACTCAACTGACCCTCAGCCACTGCCTTCTAGCACTTCTAAAATAATAAAGAGTTAGTGTTAGATTGTTATGCGATCAGTTTGTGAGACAATGTCAGGCTTAATTATATAGGTGCTAAGGCTTGACATGACCAGCTGATTGATCGCATCAGGCTACTCCAACTGCCCATGACCACTAACAGACCCGGGTTGTAGACTGCTCAGTCTCCAGGCTTTCATCCTTAAGCATTTTGTTGGAAGAGGAGAGAAAAAAAGAAAGGAAAAGACTTGAAGCAATTATGATATGGTTTTATAAATAAATGTTGAGAATATTTTGTATAATGCCTGTAAAAAAAAAAAAAAAAAAAAATCAGAATTAGAAACAGATGAATCGATGGGGGGCATATAATAAAGAAAAAAGGCCTGATGAATTTAACACTCATAAGACACGCTAAAATTAAGTGTAGTATAATCCGTGAATAACACAATTGACAATGTGTAAATAGATGGCCAGGCAAATATAACAAAAAGAAAGAAAGATCATAAAGTAAACACAATAGAAGTGGACAATTTTGGGATGCTGAATCCCAAAAGTTTTAATTTCAAGCTAATAGATTAAATTTAATATTTCCTATAAGCAAAATACTATGCTGTGTTTCAAAAACTAATTTAAAACTAAATTAAACTGACTGGATTTTTTTTTTTTTTTGCTAAAATAGCTGATTAGTGCTCTTTTTTAGTCACCTTTTATTGCAATGTAATTCTGTTTATTAAAAACATCTTCCAAAAATAAGAAATACTTTTCTGAAACTTTATTTGAGGAATATTAGCTGGTTTAAAGTGTAATTAATCTGATTTGAAACGAATCAGAAATATTATTTACTTTAAGTTTAAATGCATTTTAATGCAGCAGTAGATGTTTATTTCAACTGTTTACATGTTTGACAGCTTGATGTTTATCTAATGTTGTTCTATAGAGGCTTTAGTCATAAAAAATAATTGAATATAACATGAACGCCTCTTTTATATATAATTTTTAAGTACTCAGGAATCTGAAAAATTTAAGAAAATATTCTCTGTAATCTAATGTTTCATTGAATTTTAGATGCTTTCTGGATTTAAATTTACTATAGTTATCATTCTTATTTTCTGATAATGCCACATATGGGTGTCCCATACATACTGCATATTTTTATTTTACATTTCAGAGCAGATTTTCAGTAAATGGTGTTTCTGCTTTACAAAAGCAAATTAATGATTTTAATTCTTTAAAGAGTCCTGCTTTTAGCTAATACAAATATGAAAGGGGTGAAATTTCATCAAATTAAGTTAAGGTTAATAGATATATATATATATATATATATATATATATATATATATATATAAAATATAAAAGAATATAAATAGAACATTGAAGTCCAGACTCAGAGGTGACAGGCTGTTTCACACTAGACGCAATCGTCAGGCCGCAAACCTGACAAATCGCGGTTTGTATATTATATTTACATATGCCCTATCTTAGATATTGAGCACTTTATCCCATAAATATAGCACACCTTTTTTCTATATTTCTTCATATATATGTATATATATATATATATATATATATATACACATACACACACACAAAGATTTTCAACAAAAAACAAGTTTCATTTGTGAATAAGTCCTGAAAATTTAATTAAAATCTGACAATTATTTGGTTTTTGTAAGAATTTCCAAAACAATGTGTGTTTTTTACCACAAAAAAAGATGCTTGATCAAAATTCCTGGAGTCCTCCATCAACTTCCTCGTAACGGAAGTACACTTAAATAATGGCTTCAAGAGAGCCTTCCTCTAGGAGGAAAGTTCCTTCTCTAGAGCCTTTCTGTCTACATGACAGATTGCCTCTCCTTTGAGGAAGAGGATCTTTTTTTTTTTGACGGATGTTTGTTTGGATGTTGATATAGGGGAGGGAGTGGAGGGGGAAGTGGGGAGGCTCCTTGCCTTGTCAGCATAAGTTTCTTTTTTCTATTTGGCAAAGAAGGGGCAGCTTGGGACTTGGCGTGTTCCATGGCCCTCTTTGTCTAGGTTCAGCCAGATCTTTTCTCTTTTTTTCTTACTCTTGATCTCTTCCCGCCTCCTTTTTAAGGAGGAAGATTACAGTGGAGGCATATCTTCCACCTCCATTTCACAATCTGACTGCTGTGACTGCTGCTGTGATTACTGCTGTTCCTATTGTAGTTGCTGTGATTGCTGTTCTTGCTGCTACTGATGTTTCTGCTCTTCACAAACTGCTGCCATTCACCAAGGCCATTGGGGACCTGGCTGGATTTGTCTGGGCCTCACTGCTTCCTTTGATGACATTGGTTGCCAGGGTACACTTTTGACATGTGCCCCATGGTGCCACAGGACCAGTAGTGAGGTAGAATGTTCCAGCCCCGGCATGTCAAAATGTCGGGGATGTCCATGAAGCCCTTGCAGGACAGTGTCACTTGTAGGACAACCTCCCTGGTGGCAATGCCTGCTTTGCTTTTGACTGGTGTGACATCCCCAACTCAACCATAGTTCACAAAAAAGGTCCCCAAATGGTCCTTGGATATCTCCAAGGGCACCCCATGAAGTGCGATTTTCGTCTTTCATATGCCCAGATATTCTGTTTGCAGCCTCACCAATTTCAAGGTGAGAATGCTTCCTGCTAATATCTTGGTTTCTTTGACTGTAGCCAGCAAAATGTCCTACATGGTGTTTGATATTCTGGCCAGCACCTTGGGGGCTATATTGAGGCTCTTCAGCACCTCCTCCATTATCTCCCTGCTGATGCCCATCAATTTTCTTGTTTTTACATCTGTGGTAAGCAGGGAAATCATCCTAGATGTGACTGCCTCCAAAACAGAAGGAATTGTTAGAAGTTCGTTCCTGGATATATAGTCCTTGAAGATTTCCTTTTAGGCCTCATAATAATCTGGGCCCTTCTTCATTTTATCTGCTGCCCATGCCAATGTAGTAGTGGGAGATAGTTTAGTTGTTTGAGCTGCTAAGGAGACATATGCATACTGGTGGGGCTCCCACAATAACATATGTACAAACAAAAAAGTCCAAAGGAAAAAGCAGTGCTACAAGTACACACAATAAAACAAACAAACAAACATGTAAGACAATAGACAAACATGAGCAAAAAATGTGGCACTTACTTTGTCACTTCACTAAGATTGTAATAGGGAATGACGAATCTATATTAGGAATGACTGCAAAATACTTTCCCTCCCCTTTTTATGGGCAGAAGCACACAAATGCATGCTGGGATTTTTTCCTAGTCAATAAAATAGGCTGGTTCTCAGTTTCATCTGACATAGTCTCTGTCTGTCTTGTCTTGAAGCTAGAATGCTATGTTCGTTTGTCTGAACTTGCTTTTGCACGTTTACGCCAATACTTAGTTTATGAACATTTTGCTATATTAGTATTACTTTACCTATTACTTACTTTACATTTAACCATGGATACTCACTCCAGTTTTATAATGTAACGTTAATTTTGAGTGATTTTCATTCATTAGCAAAACTATCATTGATTTTTGAATGTCCTGTAAAAAGTTATAAACGAATTTATAGAGTGTATTTATTTCTGTGCATTTAGTTACCAGAGCAAACAAATATAACAATTAATAATTTCCAGCAAAGTTTTCTAAAAAATATTTGAATATTCTTTTCTCTTTCTTTGATTAGCTTTATCTATTGGTAAGTAAAGAGTTTGCTCAGAATTTATTTACTGAATAAGGCCATGTACTGGAATAAAATTTTTCTTTATATGAGAATTTTAAATTGTTAGAAATAAGCACATAACTAAGTAATTATGAATTGTAGCAATTAGTTTAATCTTCCCTGTACTTAATTGCAACACTTAACCCATGTGACAGTCCTGTGTTATTATTTTAGAAACCAATTGTCTATGTGAATATTTCTTATTTGAATTATTTCTTAATCTTTGGAATAAAAGTTACATAGTAACCCCAATTTGAAAGATAAAGAGATCAAGATTTTATCTTACCTATCATTTGATTAAGAAAATAGAAAAAATAAAATAAAATAATGGACACACTTTGGTATATATAAATTATACAGATACATTAAATTAAAAAAGAGGAAATCTTATGTTAAATCAGAAATACCAAAAACCAAAACCTCCTCTCAAAATTAACATTAAGTTGAAAATATACATCTGCAAAGAGAGACACCTATTGGACAATATGGTCTGAAATTCTTACTTCTTCAATTCAAGAAACTGCTATTCAGCTACCATTAGTAGAAATGGATTTGTTTTATGGCTTATCAACTCTTTCTGGGTTATTTAAAGCCAAAACATATTTTGGATCATAAGAATAAGTACGTATTTTTTTGACAAGTCAATATTGCATTAACAATTTTTGGAAATAATGATATTTTCTACCTATTTAACCCATAGCTGGGGGAGGAAATGGATTCATAACTTTCCTCAAGAGTAGTTGAGTATAAATGAATGTAATGAACTCAGATCTCTGGTTCTCATTCCAAGCTGCTATCGATTACACCACCTGCACATCCCATCAACGTGGAAGCAGAGGCAGGAGATAGATCCCATGCTTCCATGTTGCTCTACCACTGTAGAAAAAGAGGCAGCTTTGCAAAGCTGAAACCCTCTTCTATAGTCAATGTCAAAAAGTATGCTTCTCGTGTAAAGGTCTCACTAATTACAAGAGAGCCTGCAAGAGATATGAAAACCCACCCAAATTTATGTTCACAAAGTCAAACCATGATATCTATTCTCCAAGATATGAAGAGTCATGATTAGATTTAGTAACTTGAAAGCAATGAACCTTATCTACTTGCTGCTAATTCCTAATCTGTAATCAGAGAATTCTTACTTGTTACTCCTTGGAGTCACGCTTAGGCCATGCAGCTGTGAGAGTCATTCATTCAAAACACTGAAGTTTCTACTCCAAGTTCTAATTATTCATTCAAATATCAACCTTTGTTTTCATGAACTGATCACAATATCTTCTTAATGCATAATCATGATTAAAGGTTTTAACTCTGCATACCAGATGATGACAAGTAAATAGGACAAATGATAAAGCAATCAATTTTATTTGATATCAGAGATCACTATTATGTGCATCTACATTTCACAGGTATGAGTAAGAACATTTTTAGTACTGGCTATTTATAACTTGATAAAAAGATTACATCACACATTTAACTTATATAAATATGCCACCACCTGTAATTGAGCTCATGTATTTCATTATTATTAGTTATTTCAGAAACATTTAACATCCTACTTCAAATTCACATAACTATGACTTGTAAGTTTAATCAGTGTACTTTAACAGAAATTGTAATTAATTTACAAGTGATAGTGTGTTAGGTTATGTAGTGAGGCCCCACCCTGTAAAAAAAAAAAAAAAAAAAGAAATCAAAAAGAAAAAGAGTTTTAAGAAACTTCTTGAATTTTAATAATAAATTCTAATTTTGAAAATACAAACACTATACTTTGAGATTGATAAGACAACTAATTTGGTATTTGAAGTGGAAAGCATAATTTTGTGAGAATACTGATTTGTGTTTAGTAAGTAATCAATTAAATTTAAGTACAATGATCATGGAAACATCAAAAGATTGACTGATATAAGTTAATCATAATATTTTGTTTTGTAAAAGACTTAAAATGTACATTTTTGTTAATGATTAGAAATTGATATATATGATTATGCTTTGTTTATAACTAAGAGTCATTAACATTTCAACTTTGTTTTTAGAAAATTCAATTGGCTCTTGTCTATAATCTTGCCAACCTAATTGATTTTATAAATTAAAAAAAATATATTGTTTACTGTTTTTCATTTTTTGCTTTACACTTCTTTAAACATTACACTCAAAGCAAAGCAATAAAACTACTAAGATTACTGAATGGTAGAGAATATGAGGAAAAAAAAAATTACTGAAGAAAGAGAAAAATAAAAGAACATGAATTAAGAAAACAAAAGATAACGGTTGACAGTGCATTTAAATTTTTGTAGATCAAAGTTGAGTGGAAAGCAAGAAGCAGGAAGAGATTTCCACAAGTGAAATGTGTGAGAGAAGAAATTGTTAGCATAGAAGTTAGTTACATCTATTTTAACTGTAAAATGATGAGACTTTGCCAACAATCCAGTACTGCACTTAAATTCATAAAGTCTATGTACAATAGAGAAAAGTTCATCAGAAAAATTACCATGAAAATATTTATAGAGAAGTCATAGGGAAGATACACTATGGCAGTGGGAAAGTGACAGAAGCCAAGGTGCCAGTTCAAGACAAATAACAAATTGCTGATTCTTCTTTAGATTTTATCAAGAATCTCTAAATATATTGTAGAAGCACTATAACAGATGTGGCATTAATATTCAATAGATGAATAGCAGACTTAAAAATATATAAGATGGATTCTGACAAGAAAAATTACCTACCGCAACACAGTGAATCAACTTCCCTAGCAGCATACATTGTCATTGATTTAATATAATCTTTCAACTTCATGTCAGTGGAAAAAGTTAGCCCAAGTAGGTGCAATGAGTCACTCTCCAGGATGTTAGCATCAGCCATGCTCATGGAAGGTAAAAAGTGTTCTTTCAGATGATTAAAAGAGAGCAGTTTCATTTAGGAGGCATTAAAATTAAAAAGCTGTTCCTTGCCCCAGTTAACAACAGATTACACTGCCAAAAAGTGAGATCCTATCTTTTCATGCGGACAGTACACCTGTGGAATGCTATAAAAATCAGACTACTAGATTAAATTGTATACATAAATAAAATAAAAAGGTGGAATACTTAAACTTTGTTTTAGTAAATAAAATTAAATTTATTAAATATGTAATGCTAATGTGCATTCTCAGTAATGGTTTTTTTTAAAAAAAAAAAAAAAAAAATTGTTTTTATTTTATTTTTTTTTTCTCCATAGTTTCATGTAATGCATTTGTGTATCAATGCCATTTTTTTTTTATAATAACAAAAAAACAAAACAAATGCTCTACAAATCAAAGAGAAAATAACATGATTTCTTGTAACATGGCTATTTATATTGCCTTAAATAAAACCATGGAATAAATGTACATATGTGTCAGTGGCAATACATAATCTATGCAAAGATACACATGGGTACTGTGTGTCAGTAAACATGTTAAAAGAATTATCACCTTAAAATTCAGACCAATAAACATCTGTAAGGAATATATGTAGAGACTGGAGAGGTAAACAATTTTGTTTTCTTTATTTCAGGTAGCTAAGGTATGGTCATCAGCAAGAAAAAAGACCAAGTTGCAAATTGAAGATATGCAGAAGTTCAAATATCTGAGAAGCATCTTAATCTGAACACACAATTGCATAGTGAGAGAAGCATTCCAAAAGCTAAGCAATGTGCTGAGAAACTGAAAAATGTTGTTAGAAACAAAGAAAAGATTGCTGGATTGCTATTTGATATACATGCTCTTATATGGTAGTGAATGTTGGACAATTCCCTTAGGATGAGGTAGAAAAAAATAGAGGCAGCAGAAATATGGTTCTATAGAAGGATACTGAAAATTCCATGGATGGAGTGAGCAATCAATGAAGAAATCTTAAAGAAAGGGGCAACAGAAAGAACACTTATACACAAAATCAGGAAAAGATAGCTGAAATTTCTTGGACACATAATGAGGAAGGAGAGGGCATATTAAAGACAAGAGAGATAGAGGGAGGCAGTGAACCACTTACTTGACAAGCTTATGTGAATGGATGGTAGGGCAGGGGCCTTAGCAAAGGGAGAAAATCTGCTAAAAACTACACAAGATAGAAAATTTGTGGAGAGCCATAAATGCCTATGTTCTGGAGGCACACAACACATAGAAGATTACATAGCCTATGTCATAAAAATAAGCAGAGCTCTTTCCAATGATGAAGTTGCTAGATTACCTATGTACCTGACTCAACAAGTGCTTTTAGAAAACTCTTGAAATTTTTGTCACATCTTATTACAGGTTTCTGGAGTTGCCATTGACTTTCAGTCTTTGTAAATAAGCTAAATTAGTCTAATTAAACACCAAAATAAAGAAGGTTATAAATTATGAAATGGTTTGTCATCAAGAGAGACTGCCCAGGATGTGAGCTACAAATTGGTGATGTCAAAATGAAGCAAGTATTTAAATATCTGGATAAGTGCTTTAACAGAGGATGGAAAATATGACACCAAAACCAGAAGGTACATTCTAATAGCAAAAATGCCTTCCAAAAGCTAAGCAAAGTATTAAAAAACATCAAAAATTCACTAGAAAGAAAGAAAACAGTGCTCAACTGCTATGCAATATCAGTTCTCCAATATAGCAGGGAATGCTGGACAATTTTCTCACAGATGAAGAGAAAACTTAAGACAACAGATGTGGTTTTACAGAAGGATGCTGAGAATGTCATTGACAGGGTGTGTGAATAACAAGGAAGTTTTAAGGAAAATGGAAACAAAAAAAATACTTAACATCAGAAAGTGACAGTTGGAATTTCTAGGGCAAATAATTGAGACGGCTCAGAAAACATGACACTCACAGAACATATTGAAGGCAACACATGCAAAGGGAAACAGTAAATAACCCATCTAACAAGCTTGTGTAAATACATGGCAGGATGGAGAGATAGTAAAAAAAACAAATATTGTTAAGAGATACTAAAGATAGGAAGTTGTGTAAGGCCATGACTACCCACATCCTGAAAGGTCATAAGCATATAAAACTCAATCAATTTCTTATATTTATTGACTGAAGAAAAATTTGATAGAATGCTAATCATCAGATTATTTTATTTTTACTTTTGCATTTCCATATATAAATAACAGAAACTTGCTTCTTTGCTATTTCTTTGTATCAGCAACATCATATGATTTTCTACGCTATTCAATGAACATTTGAGGAAGTCATACTGCATTTTGCTTCTAAGACAAGTGTATAAAAGAAAATCACTTGCTCCAAGTTTAATGTGATTATGAAATTAACTACTATAAAGTGTGTATACATTTGTATATTATTATTATTCAAGTTTCTCAAATAAAGCACTGTCAGTTATAAACTAGAGTGTTGCTTGTCATATGGTGGTGTTTTAATATTTGGGATATACTTTTGTCCTTGTGGATAATATAAGGTTTGGTCATTTTTAGTTACATATATTTCAGGTATCTCATGAGATGCTTGTAAATCTAATTTGGCTCTCATTATATATGAGTAAGGAAAGCTACCTCAATACTCACTTAATTGAGTTGACAGGCAACATATCTACTGTATATTTTGTATATTACAAAGTTAATGGACAAGTGTTTTACACACATGAGCCACTTAAGTACACCTGAACAAATGCTCTTTTATGCAAATTTCTAATTAGCCAACGATGTGACAGCAATTTCAACTTCTGCTGTGACATTCCCATGGTAGAGCTAGAAATTTGTGTAAACAACATAAAAGACTTTAAACAAAATGAAAGGCTTTAAATGCCACAGACTCCTAGTTATTGTGGCCGACAACATACCTAGATTTATGACTACCGTACACCCAGCTTCCGTTGGCCACTTCCAGCAGAACAACATACGATGTCACA